CCCCAAAACCCCAAAACCCCAAAACCCCAAAACCCCAAGCCAAGAAAGCTAAATCTGAATATTTAACGATAATATGAAGTAATGTGGACTAAGTGTCTCACCGAAATGAATAATATTAGCTGACTTAATTCTTAATAATTTCTGATTTCATCTTCAGTGGTGGATCTTAAAATGCCATCTTTAGTGATTTTAGTACGACACAGAAGACGCTCTTTATGATTATTGAGCCATTCTAGGATACAACTTTCGTGAAAGATATGCATGTTATCTTGAATATTGCCTTTGTTAATATTACAATGAAGAGCAATCAGGAGTTCATCAGGTGTTTCGGAAAAAGGTTCAATTCATAATGAACACTCTTCAAAATCTTGTGTCAAGTCTTGGTGTTTTAGCCTTCTCAGTCTATCTAAAGGTAGTTCTTTATCGTTGAGAGAAACTCTATTATTTCTGAATAATTGTAAGATACTGTATCTTCTCCTAACTAAATCTTGCCTTGGACGATTATGATTATTGGAATTTTGAGCTCTGTTAATCGACTAAATGATTAAAAATAATAACCCACTGGAAGACGGTTATTTGAAAAATTAATACTTTGATATCCAGCTATATTTCTGTATAAATTATATTGGCCTCTACTTCCTCCGATATGATGCAAGGTCCTTCTTTGTTCTCTCCTGTTTCTTACAATTTTGTAAAGAATTCATGGATATGAAAATGAATAGTACATGATAATACAAAAAGTAATAAAAACTCTTGGTGTATGGATTAAATAAAACAACAATAAAATTTGTTTTTCATTAGCTCAGCTTTCGTGAGTCGTAAACAAATAACCCCATGAATTAACCAGAACCAATATCCACATAGTTAATATCGTCACATTTGAAAGATAACTTAATAGCTTAAAAGCATTTTTACAACATCAATACAATATAATCATAAAAAGTAGCATGACCATCATAAAAGTAAGATCTATCATAGGGAATGAAATTATAACAATCCTCTATAACTCACATCATCACTCAAAAGCACTTGCCCTCCATTTTCATATATATTGATTTTATAATACAAAGGAAACACTAGAGTATGGTGGTAGAAATACCCACTCTCATTCTCCTCTCCAGCTCCTATGAGACAGTCTGTAGGAAGATCTTGTAGCACCAATAGGCTTGGTAAGGTGGAGTGACTTTGCTTGCTTGAAAATGGTGGTATTTTCTGCCTGAGAGCCTAATAAATAAACAGGTCAATTTATATCGTATTTAAATTAAGTCATTACTCTATCAGAAGGAGAACTCCCTATCTTTAGCATTATGTTAATCTGTTCTTTCAGCATTAAGTTCAGCCAAACGCTATTCCACTCTAAAAACTCCTAATATTATCTTACCACTCTATTTCTGGCCTAAACACAGGTACAAATAATGCCAAATACGTTAAATACCCAATTTCCCACAAAAACTCAATCTTCCCTCCCCTTCATCTCTACTCATAACCCCAATCCTTACTTTGAAATCACCACTATCCATCCTACAAAATTTGCGACCGTACAGATCGCACTGCCAATGTACTGTATCACCATCATCACTCTTCTATTAAGTGTAATTTTCTACTCTTTTTCCCCATTCACAGAACTCTTTTCTAAGTTCTTTGACTCAGCACATTTATTAATTTAAAATCTAAAATATTTTGGGGTTTTGGGGTTTTGGGGTTTTGGGGTTTTGGGG